GAGAGAGAGAGAGAGAGAGAGAGAGAGAGAGAGAGAAGGAGAGAGACTATTTGCGTGTCTTATTACATATGTCCTCCGGGGCGAAGCCCGGGTAACCAGCTAGTTAATGTATAAAATCAGTAACTTATACGGTCATTTTTTTTCGCTGTAATTCTGATAAAAGTAATTTGATAAAAATGGTACGATTTAGTTGTTGCGACAGACTAGAGTCAAGCTCAACAGGATCTTTTTTCCCCGCTAATTTTTCCAAGCCCGTTCCCTTTTTTTTTTTTAAAGAAATCGATAACTCCTTTGGTATTAACAATTTTTAATAACTCTATTATATTCCTCAGTCTTTTCTACCCCTATTTCATATATAATTTTTAAAAATTTGGTCAATCAGTTCTTGAGAAATTTCAGAAAACTTGGTTTTTTTTAACAAAAATCGGCAACCTCTTTACTATTAACAATTTTTAATAATTCTATTATTTTCGTCAGTCTTTTCTACCCCTATTTCATATTATTAAAATTTAAAATTGGTTGATTAGTTCTGGAGTTATAGAAATTTTGGTAAATTTCGCACATACATACATACAGACATTTCTTTTAATGCAATTTTGCACACAAATAGAGTATCATAGAAAGTATGTTCTCCTCTAATTTTTTTTAAATCCGTCACACGGTATAGATTTTAGGGGGTTTTCATTTTTCAAAAAAATGTGTTTTACGCTGTAACTTTCTCAATATTTGCCATATCGGTCTATTTTTATTTCTATTATATTATTCAGTCTTTTCTACCCCTATTTCATATATAATTTTTTAAGATTTGGTTAATCAGTTTTTGAGTTGCAGACGTTTGAAATTTTGAAGAATCCGTACATACATATAAAAGCCTTATAAAGTTTATTAGAGTAATCAACCAAATTTTAAAAATTATATATAAAATAAAGGTAGAAAAGACTGAAGAATATAATAGAATTAAAAATAGACCGACATCTCAAATATTGAGAAAATCCAGACAATTAAGCCAATTAATGAAAAATTAATTATTTCCTATATTTATTAATAAAAGCAATTTTGATATATTTAAAAAATTAGTTTAAAGTAGAAATAAAAAACTATTGTAATAGTATAACAAGTATTAGTCGCAATAAAGATTATTACAATAAAAAAAGTATGCAAGTATAATAGAAACTTGCAACAAGCCAAATTAATATATAGATATCTACTAATAATTATACATGAAAAAAAGGCTTCCTCATAAGAGGTAGCTTTATGAGCGAAATAAAATGTTGATTAAGCAACGTGCAAATTTATAATTACACTTAAAAATTATAAGGAAGCAATGTGCAAGTTTCTACTTGCACACTTAAAAACCATGAGGAAGCAATGTGCAAGTTTCTACTTGTTTGTTATATTTTTGTCTGAATAGAATTTAATGGCAAGTCTCAGCAAACTACAGAGATAAACAGAAATCAAACAAACATTAAATCATAATTCTCGGCTAATGTTTTGCGGAATCAATTGGCATAGTAATCGAAAGATTTATTGGTCGAAATGCATCATTGATCTCTTCAAATGGATCCATAATGCGTAGCTGACGGCTGCCGGTTGTAGCAGGTTGTAAACTCATCGTATAATAACGCGTTGAGATAACGGAGCACTGAGGCGTTTAAAGGGCGCCGAAAGTTATGAAACGAAACGTAAAAGGCACGCACCGTGTTCACAGCGATGTAATCATCAGCGCTGGTGCGTGAACGCCATCGCTAAATAAATTCGGTCTTTTGCACTGTTACGTATGGATATTTTATTCTAAAATTTCGGACGACGCATGTTGGAATTTTTGAACGGTTTAAACGACGCACGCTAGCTCAGAATTCCAAGCAAACGCTCAAGTCAATACAAATGTTTGGTTTATCCTACGGTTATCGGACGGCTGTTGATAGGTTGAGGTCCAGATAGGGCCCAAAAAACTACGTTTTTAGAAACTTCTAGAAAAC